TGCCGCCCCGCGAGGCCGCTGCGCGAGCTGATTTGGAGCGGGGCCCTGCGCGGAGAGCTAATTGAGAGGAACCCAGCCCACCTCGCAGGGTTGTCGTTGCGGGGGAAATAGGCAGGAGTATTAGGTATCTTCGCCGCCTTGAGTTGACATATATATTTATATATACGTATACGTGTGTGTGCGCGTGTATGAAAAAAGGCGGGATAAAAAATTAATGTGGTGGCACGCTTTTCGGCAGGGGGGGCCGTCCTGGTCGTGCCTCGCCTGCGGTTTTAAACCTTTGCACCGGCGAAAATTTTGAATTCACAGCCGCGCTTGAGGGTTTTTTTTTCCGTTTCCTGATCGTTCCCAACCCCCCGCCCGCCTTTCCTGGCCCGAATCTCCCTTGTAACCGGTCCTGCCCCAGGAAAAGGGTCCCGGGCGAGTGTTCGGCTGCCCGCCCTGCCGAGGGAATGTCCTCCTCCTCCTCCTCCTCTGCCCTCGTCCAACCGTTGAATTATGAATTCGGGGCATTTTGGATACGTGTCTGTCTCGGAGGAATCACATTTACCCAGGCTGGGGTTATACTGCGTTTTGGTTGAGGCTTCGCAGAACCTACAGGGAGCCCAATGTACTGTTTCCGAAGGAGATGCCAGCCACTAAAGCGAAAAACAAACCACATGCACCTTTTTCGCCTGTTGTCTCTTTCTTCTGCCTGGTTCTTATTTTGTCGAGTTGGGTACATCCTGCAGCCAGATCCCCGCAGCTTCCTTCTGCATGATCCTGCTTGCATAGTTGGGGGAATGTTTACCTGTCCTTCTCTGGATGTTTCCCATCTTCTGAACTGAGAAAGGTCACCCACCAAAAGGCTTCATCAAAGTCTCACCTAAACTGGCTGTTTTATTTTTCTGGGGCTGTCAAACTATCCAGTGCCTTGATTTTATTCTGTTGGTGATTCCTTGCTTATGCTATTTCATATTCGAGGCTTTAAAATGTTTTTCTTTGCTTATACTGCCTTCTGTCCCGCTGTTTTTCTATGCTAATTCTGTTGTATATTCATATTTTGTTTTTTAAATTATGAATTTTCAGTATTTTTTACAATATTTTGGT